GATGGGATAATCTGTATTTTTAATGATGTCAGTATATTAGTTTCTCCTTTAGCTTCCGAAATTGAGACAAATTATTTGTACAGTGAGTGGTTTTGTGTTGCATTGCAAATTCAAGTGACTAATGCAGAAAGTCACTGTGATCAGCATTAGAAATAAATATGCCATTAACAGAAACCGATTTTGTTCCAGCTGTCTAAACTTTCATGAAAAATGTTCTGGAGTGCTTCAGCTTTCAGAGGATTGAGACCTCTGACATCGATACAAGTGTGTAATGACTACTTTTAAAGTGACAAAACGTGATCCTGCCCATAGAGCGCTTTCTCCTTCCACCTAATTCTGTTCCCATTTTATGTGAGCTTGTTCAGCCCAACGCTGCAGCCAGAGAACAGCCACTCGTGTCCACAGGAGCTTTCATCTGTCACTCCAGCAGCAAATCCTCACACCTGGTACAAGCTTCAAGTGCTGTAACCCGAGTTAACCCCCAAAGGCTTTTCTTTAACACAGCTGAGTTCCACAGTTCAGATTTGCTTCTGCAACTTTATCCATTTTACGATGTTCTCTTACTTTCTGCTTCAAGTTTTGCAATTAAAGTTACCCACGGTACTGACTGCTTCTGACAACCTCCTTTTCACAGAAAGCCCTAGAGACCGATTTCAGCTTTAGATTCAAATTGAGAAAAACATGGAAAAATTCCCCATGAAATAGTTTGGGGTGCTGTGGACTTAAAGAGTTAGAAACACCTTCGCGACTTTACTGTTGATGACGGCCCACACAACTAGTGAAATAGTTTGGGGTGCTGTGGACTTAACAAAGAGTTAGAAACACCTTCGTGACTTTACTGTTGATGACGGCCCACACAACTACCGGGTCACAAGGACATGGGAAACGCTGAAGTTGAAAATTACACCTTTGGGAGTTTAAACCAGAATTGGACTGCGGCGTGTGAGCAAGAGCTGGTTATTCGGTGCTATTTGAAATTGTTATAAAGTACAGCTCGCGCTGCGGCATTAGTGCACAGTGGTAGAGAAGGGACGAAAACAAGCCGTATTTTCTTCTTCAGGGGTCTAGTCTATCTGGCAGCTCGTTGGGCCGCTGGTATTTTTGTAACTGCTTGATGCTGTGTAGTGGTTGGTGCAGTATTTGATTTTGATCTGAACCAGGAGCACCGTGGAAGAGGGAAGAAAACAAATGCCAGTCTGTATGTACATACCGAGAAGGCGTTAAGGTAGTTGTCTACAGCGATATAAAGACAGGTATAAGGGCACATCTCTACAACTACCGAGGAAAGCACTGCGCTTTGTGGGGCAGTATGAAGCGTCAGTCCTGAGGTTACACTCCTCTCCGTGCACCAGCCGGACCCACTGCAATTTGGGAGAGCTTCGTTGCTGTCCAGCCTTGAAAAAGCAGCTTTAAGGCGCAGCTAGCGCCTTCGTAAGAGTCAATCCGTACTGACGGCGTTTGTCCTTGGGGAGATGCTACTGGCGTGCTGCAGGAGTGTCCTGAATCCACTTCATGTCAGTACAGATTCAGCCTTTAGCGTCACCTGCATGCGAAGAGGAGGAACGAAGACTCTGCTGTTTGCTAAATTTAAGTACTTCGAGAACGCAGACGCTCGTTGGGCTGAAGTGTTTGGAAGTAGGGGATGATGCTCGCGCTTTGTCCTGAAATAATTCATATTGTCTTTTCTTTTTAAAGCCAGCGTTAACACGAGGCCTGGGTTGTGCTGCAGGCCTCCAGGGGCTGTGCTGCTGTTAACGCTCACCGGTTGCTGCCCGGCGCTTCGAGCGAAGGCTCGTGCAGCAGCAGCCCCCCTCAGAGCCAAACTCCTCTCCATGCAGCTACACGACAGGCCATAGAGTCCATCTGAAAGCCTTGAGGAGTGTCAAGAGGAGATACCAGCTTCTCTTCTTGTTTTCTTGCTGGTTTTTGACATGTAACCTCGGATACCTCTGCAGGACAAGCCTGTCCATCTCGTTGGCGAGAATGACCCCTCTACCCCCCCCCCCGGTTTCCTCCGCGCTCTTTCACCCGCAGCGCTGGAGGAGCCTGCTGACGGGTTGTGTGCCACGTTCACCCTCCCTCACAAAGCCTGTCTTCAGCCAGATTCTGAGCGCTCTTAACGCAAAAAAAACACATTCGCGCGTCGCAGCAGCATATGGGCCAGTCTGCCGAAGACTGTCAGTTGTACGTGCAGATGAACTGATTTAGACAGTCGCACTAGTGTTCGAGGAAAATCCAAGTGAATAGGAAGCTCGTTTGGAATACGAGCAAAACCAGGGGGTCCTTAGGCCTAATAAGCTTAGTATGATTAATGTTGTGAGGATATTAATAATCTGAACATTAAAATAGCTTCTAAAGCATCATTTCAGAAGAAATAATTTGGGGAGTACTAGCTGGAATGTGCATCTACTTTATGCGAGAGGACAAGAGTCTGATTATCTGTCTGTCTTTTCTCCAACCTGTAGCTTTTGTCAGGAGTGATAAGCCAAAACTCTTCAGGGGACTGCAAATCAAGGTGAGTAGTAACCTAACTTTTTTATTTGGGATGTTGGGAAGAATTAAGGTTGGTGGAGACAGTCATCCCGTGGATTTATTGCAGATCCTTATTTGCTGATCAAGTAATCCTTTAGCAGAGGACGTGTATTTGCGTTGCCAGTATAAATCTTTACAAGTTCCTGCTGCTACTATGAATTGGTTTATTGCTCAATAACTCTTTGGTACCGATTCTTTGTTGTTGTTGTTGGGGTTTGGGGTTTTTTTACTGGTTGTTTTTAATCCCAGTAAGTGTACCCATCAGTAATAGCAGATGGCAAAAGAACGTGAGGAGCGCTTGCGTTCTGTCCTTACTCTGTGGGTATCTTGGATTTACTCAGGTTTATTCTGCCGCAGTTTCCTCTTCTCCTGTTCTGTTCTCCCCTCATTTTCTGGTGGAGCTGCCTTTTACACACAGTCAGGGATGCTTCAGTTTTTCTCCTCTCTCTCAGAACTTCCTTGCTGTCTTCTGTGATTCTATTTTCTTGATAGTCTTCAAACATCCAGCTTTGGGGAAATGCATATACTGAGGGGCGTTTCTTATGACTTGCATATATGCAGAGCTGCACAAGCGGCATTGCCCTAAGCTCAAACACTTCTTTGGTTTCAAGATCTAGCGTAAGACTTCACCTTCCTCTTAGAATCCTCTGTCAACCTCCAGCATCCTTCACAGGTACACATCCTCATCCTCACATCTTGTGCTCCCACCTCTCTTCACCAAACGGCACCATCTGGAATCACTTTGTAGCTGCGCAGGGCTGCAAGAAGCAATTTGTCTTCTCGGCAGCAGATTCCATCTAAAACAGATTTCCCTTGTCTGGCTCGTGCATTCCTGTCTCCGTGTCCTCCAGTTTCGTTCAAAAGCTTTCTCTCCTTCTGCACGTCTGACTGCTTCATTTTTCTTTTAAACATTGGAGCTGTGTTGAGCATCAAAGCGGTCTAGACTGCAGTTGCTATAGCACGCTACCAGACAAAATCGAGTGCAAATGGATCTGTATTTATTTTACAAGAGGGTTTTTTTTTTGGAAAATGGATTAGAGATGCCACTAGCTTCGTTAAGTAAAACGAACTAGGTTAGCTCAGTCAAGTAAAATACTCCTGGGGAAGTCTTTCCATGAACTTAAACGGTGAGAGCCTTCTAATACCGCTAAAAGCTTTTATTTGCATGACATATTTTGTGACTTAGTGAGTCTGCAGAAACATTAAAGTATTACGTTACCAGCAAAGCCTCGTAGGCACAGATACCAGCCAGCAGGAAAGA